GCTGTGATAAAAACCCTGACCAAAAGCAGCTTGGGGAAAGAAAGGGTTATTTCAGCTTACACATTACACTCCATCAGTATGGGAAGCAGGGCAGGAACTGAAGCAGAGACTTTCAAGGAATACTGCTTACTACTTACTCTTTATGGCTTGTTCAGCTTGGTTTCTTACACAACTTTTAATCATCAGTATGGGGTTGGCACCACCCACAGTGGGCTGGCAAGGCCTACACCAATCATTAATCAAGAATTGTCAGGTCAGAAAGATTGTTAGACCCAGAGGAACAGGAAGCCTGCAGTGAGATTGCACTCCTAGAAATGTCACAAGGTAGGCTCATAAGTCCTCACTAACATGAGTACCTAAACAGGAACTGAACAAAGACAACAATAGACATGCTAAGGTATATGGGGAAAAGCCCAGAAGGCCTCAACCTTACACAAAGAACCACAGGCAACTAAGAGTGGAGAGTGGAGAAAAACAGTCTTCCCCAGGGAAGAGCACATCAAATTGGTTGTCCAGTACCAAGTGGTCAACTCTGAAAACATACATACAAGTAACATTATACAGACTGAGCACATTGTATTTATGTATGCACACACACACAAGTATATATACACGCATACATATATGTGTGTACATATGTGTATGTAACAACAATTAATGAAGAAAGATACCATGAATTAGAGAGAGAGACAGGGAATCAGAGAGACAGAGGAGGGATATGTGGAGGGATTTGGAAGGGGGAAATGACCCAATTATATTGTAATCTCAAAAAGTAAATAATTTTTAGAAATGCCCCACAGATGTGCTCATGCCCAATTGGATGGCAGCAAGTCTTCATGAGGTTCCTTCTTCAGGTGACTATTTTGGGTCAGGTTGACAACCCGACTAGCACAGGTGTGCTACATAAGCACTCTGCTGCTCAGCCACCTGCACAGAGCATCCCAGTATCCAGGTTTTAGTTCCTTTGCCTATCTGTGATGTGATTTTTGTCTGTCCTGTCACCTGTCCTGGTGCTGGGGACTGAGAAAGAATTTTGAGCTTGAAGTAATCTCCCATTGACTAAATCCCCAACTCATCCACACTTTAGTTAGGTCATGTAATTTTTAAAAGAGGCTTGGGGTATGGGAGGACAGCATTTGAGGCCTGTCTGGGCTATGTAGGGAGATGAAAGGAGATCATCTCCCCCCCCCTTTTTTTTATTAAATCTCTGTAGCCCCGTCTCTTGCTTGACTCTGCTTCCCAAGTGCTAGGATTAAAGGTATGCTACCAAACTTGGCCCTATTTCTTTAAAAAAAAAAAAAGAAAAAAATGCATTGGTATCCTACCTTCCACTATTATTTAAACCCTTGTCTTGGGTCATTTCAGCTGCCCCAGTAGCCTCTTGGTAAAGGTCTGTGGATCATGGGAAATTGTCTTCAAAAGAGTGCTCTTGGAGTTAGTTTCCATTTGTGTGCTCTCTGTAGAAAGTGGGTTGGCATTAGACCTTGACATTTAGTCAATGACCTTTTATAGAAAAGTGGTGGTTTCTTCTCAAGGTTCTGCTGACATTTTAAAAAGTAAGCAAATTTTCCCACAACTGCTGCTTGTTAAAAAGGACACTGAATAGAAGCCTTTTGTTACAAGTCTGAGTTGAAGCTGGGCATAGTGGCACACACCTTTGATCCCAGTACTCAGGAGGTAGAGACGGGCAGATCTCTGTGAGTTCCAGGCCAGCCTGGTCTACACAGGGAGTTCCAGGATCAGCCAAGGCTGTTATATAGAGAAACCCTGTCTCAAAACAGACAAACAAACAAAAAGTCTGGGTTGAAATATAGTTTAGTGAGTAGTAATTTTAGGAGCAATGTAATTAAAAAGTACTTAGGGCTGGGGAGATGGCTCCGTGGGTAGAGTGCTTGCTGAGCAAACTTGAGGATCTGAGTTCAGATCCTCAGGACAACCCAAGGCTGAAGACAGTAGTGGGTATACAAACCCAGTACTCCTGTAGCAAGGTGGGATGTGAGGTGGAGGCAGGGGAACTCCAGCTGGTCTGGCACATGATTGGGGAACAAGAGACCCCATAATAGACGGTGAGGGCCAGTACTTAAAGTTGCTCTCTGACCTCCACATGTGTGTTGTGGTGTGTGCCCTTGCATATAGGAACACAGATGTAGATTTAAAAAAAAATAGTACTCAGCACAGTGATTGGCAAGTATGCAAGCACAGGGCTTGAGAGTAACTACTACCATTCTGGAGACTGGCACAACGCCACTGGCTCTGTTCTCTCCAGTAGGAGAATATGCTACTTGCTTTTCTCTAACCGGGTCCAGGTTTACCCCTTCTCTTAGTTCCTATTGCAACTCTGAGCTTGTATCAGTTTACTCTGGAAGGCAGGGGCTCCCTACCTGTGCTCAGTAATTACACTGTTAGTTTTGTTTTGGTATTTTGAGAAAAGGTCTCACTGTGAAGTCTTGGCTAGCCTGAAACTATGTAGATCAGGCCTGGAACTCATAGAGATCTTCCTGCCTTTGTTTCTAAGTGCTGGGATTAAAGGGTGTATCACCATGTCTGGTCCATTAATTACATTTTATTTAATCTTCACAAAGCGTTAAGCCCTTGGCTCTTGGTGAATTAGGTGCAGGTCTGGGGTGATGTGTGCTAGCTACCACTCTTGGTAGACTACGGGACTCTTAATAGTGTGCCAGATAAGGGAAATGTGTATTTGGGTATAGTTTGCTGTTGGAAAGTCATCAAGGGTATTAAAAAAAAAAAAAAAGGAAGGGGGGGGATGGCTCAGCTGCACAAACATAAAGGCTTGAGTTAAATCATTTTTTACTTGGGTAAAAAATCTGGGTGGAGTTGCTCATGTCTGTAATCCTAGCACTGAGGTGGGTGGAGATAGGAGGATTGCTGGGACTTGCTGGCCATCCATCTAGACCCAGCTTCAGTTTCAAAGGAATGTTGTGGACAGTGATAGAGCAGAACAACCCACATCCTCTGAACCCCCCTCACACACATTTCCTCCCCCCCACCAGAGAATCATCAGGTAAAAGAATATGGCTAATACAAGGCGACTGTTTTGAGGAATTCTACTGTTATCGTAATTACTTTCCAGGCAGAACAAAGTGGCACAGTGCCCTCAGTTGCTACAACAGACCTTTGTGGAGTAGGAGTTGCCATGATCTGGTTAACTCTGGCTTGTTTGGGACGACTAGGGTACAGAGCAAGTGAACTTCTTGGCTTATTGCCCTCACCTGCAACTCTTATGAAATGCTGTGTGGCATTTTTGAATTTGGAGATTGCAGTGATCTTAGGGTGCAATACCTTTGGAATGTCAAGGATGAACTATGCTTTTTAAATTTTGTGTGTGTGTATATTTATGGATTTTTTTGTTTGTTTTTGAAACAGGGTTGCTATGTAGTCCTGACTGTCCTGAATCTCACTACATAGAGCAGGCTGGTCTCAAATCCAAAGAAATCTTCCTGCTTCCTGCTTTTGAATGCTGGGATTAAAGGCATAAGTATTATTATGTGTATGTGTTCTTTTAATCCCATGGTTCCACTGGGCCTGTAGATATAAACAAAGTACCAGTAGTCCTTTGTTTTACCTTTTTTCCTCCAAGTTCTTACTCCTCAAGGGCAGCCAGGTGTTTGTGCTGCCTTCCACATGACTTGCAAACATCACCTCTGTATTCTGGGGCAAGCTAACAGCTGGCATTCTTAAGGGGAGGACTTTTTTTTTGGTTTTTTGAGTCAGGGTTTCTCTGTGTAGCTTTGGAGCCTATCCTGGCATTCGCTCTGGAGACCAGGCTGGCCTCGAACTCACGAGATCCGCCTGCCTCTGCCTCCCGAGTGCTGGGATTAAGGCATGCGCCACCAACGCCCGGCAAGGGGAGGACTTTTATCACAGCACTTCTTTGCCTCACCTCTCTCTCCCACTGTCTTAGATATGGCTGGTGTTGGTATTATTATGACTGCAGGGTACTGTCCACAGCTGAGCAGCACTGTGTGCTACAACTGAGCGCTGCCTTTTCCCCAGAACACTGCCTCATTTTAACTTTGCGTGCGTGCGTGCGTGTGTTAGGTGATCAGAAGAGGGTGTCAGATTCCCTGGAGCTATAGTTGCAGGCAGTTGTGAGCTAGTCCATGTGGGTACTGGGAACAAGTTTGGGTCCTCTAGAAGAGCAGCAAATACTAGTATTACTGAGCCAGCTCTCCAGCCCCCGTGCCATACCTTTTTTTCTCAATGACGTATTTTTACATTGGTGAAAATGCTCAATTCTCAACATTCAGCCACATCAGAGCTATCGGTTCCGTTTTTGCCCCCTTGGGAAGAATGCTTCAACTTAACTGCTCCAGACTGAACAACCTAGCTTGCCATGCTGAGGTTCTCTGTTTTCAGGCTTCTCTTTGTCTGCTATTGTGTTTGTTACCCAAATTTGTAGGGTCAGAGCCTGGGGCCTGGCAGTCCCAACAAGCTAGACTCTGTTACTTGTCCCCAATAAGTCAATTAAAGAGAATAGTAGTGGCGATAAGCAGAGAAAGGAGATGTATTCACTGTGGCCACATTGGGGAGAGGAACAAATAAAGAGGTCCAGTGACCTTCCAGGTGTATGTTTGGGATAGTGACACAAGGTTAGGTTTAAACAGAGGGTAAGCGGAATCCATGCTTACACAGTCCCTGGGTCTGAGTGTAGTGCTCATCATTGACCCATCCTTCTTCCTTTCCTAAGCATGAGAGTCCTGGGGAAATTTAATTCTTGGGGTCTGTTGCCAGTAGTCTGTCACAAGTGCCTCAATAAACATCTTCTCTCCTGCCAAGATGTTATAGTGGCTCTAATGTTTCCTATATTGTTCCTTTGTCGTTTGTTCGTTGTTTTCCTGGCTTGCTTAAGTACTTAGTAATTTCCTGAGACAGAAAATGTAAGAGATACCCTTTGAGTTCTTGCTTCTCTTAAAATGCCTTAGTTTACCATCATAATTGAGTAATAGTCTAGGAGTGAAATTCTCTGTTGGAAATAATTTTACTGGAGAATGTTGAAGGAATTATCTGTTAGCCTTCAGTATTGCTTTGAAAGAGTCTGATGCTAATTTTATTCCTAATTCTTTGTAAATCTGTCACACTGTCCCACCACTGGCTCCCAAACTCACTTTCTTTTTATTTTAGATTTTATAACATTGTTTATTTGGGCATTCGTGCATGCATAGTTCAGAGGACAACTTGAAGTTACCATTTCTCTCCTGGGATGGAATTCGGGTCCTCAGGCTTGGCAAGCAAGTGCCTTACCTTCTGAGCCGTCTCTCCTGCTCCTAGATTATTCTGTCTTTGAGTTTCTGAAATCGGAGTTAGGCTTCATGAACTAATCTCCTCTTAACAAAATTCAGTTCTGTTTCTCCTTTGTTTTATTGTGAGATTTGCTCAGTTATTTTCTTCCAATTCTATTGACTTTAAATTTTTTGCCATTTTTAATTTCCAGTAATTTTTTCCATCCCCCTCCCCTTTCTTTCCTCCCATCCCTTTCCTCTTTTCTTTCCCCTCACCCATAGGCTGGCTTTGAACACTCAGTATTCCTGCTTCAGTCTCCCCAGTGCTGAGATTACAATCATATGCTGTCATAGGCATATGCTTTCCTGTTCCCAGAACAGTCCTCCTTATGTATGTATAGAAAGGGTGTATTGAGGGTGGGTAGAAGCTGGAGAGCTAGTTGCTCTTCTAGAGAATCCAAATTCAATTCTCAGCACCCATATGGAAGTTCACAACTATCTGCAACTCCAATTCCTGGCCACTGTCTTCTTCTGGCCTCCACCTGCACCAGATATGCACATGTTACACAGACATGCAGCAGCAAAATACCCATTCACAGAAGATAACAATAAAATCATTTTAAACAAAAAGAACTGGAAGTGGTGGTGCACACCTTTAATCCCAGCACTTGAGGAAAGAGGCCACCCTGGCCCACAGAGCAAGTTTCAGGATGGCAAGGACTACACATAGAAACCCATCTCAAAAAACAAGAAAGGAAGAGGGAGACAGACAGACAGACAGACAGACAGACAGACTGCCTTTTATCTCATGGATGTGCTATCTTATCTGAGGATTTTTTTTTTAACTTCAGTTTTTCCTCCTATATCATTTCTGTTTGTTCCAAGTGTTCCCCAGTGCTCTTCTGTTTGTTACTTTGTCATCACCATCATTATTATTCTGTGAGTATATGCCTGCATGTATGTCTGTGAACCACATGTGTGCCTGGTATCAGTGAAGTCCAGGAAAGGGAAGCAGATCCTTGGAGCTGGAGCTATAGACAGTTATGAGTGGGTG